GCTGGGTTCTTGCGGGTGTGGATGTGGTCTGGATGTGTCCTGTGTCCTGTGGTCTCTATTTTAGGAAGATTTTTCTTTGTTATATTTTCATAGCTCTATGTGTTTTTGGGAGGAGATTTCCACTGCTCTACTCACGCCGCCATCCTGGCTCCGCCCCCCTATAGGTTATGTTTTAACCAGAAATATTATTCAAAGCTTCCTGTTAATGTAATGCTGGTCTGTGTGTGGCAGGGTGGAGGGAGGGGGGACCAGAAAATTTCACTACAGGTGGCAAAAATTTCATATTATTCTTATTCTTTCTACTTTCTGTTAATGCCCCAGGTATTTATAGACCTGTGGTCAGACCAAAGAAGCTGTTGAGGAGTTAACAGGATGAGGTAACCCTCTTAGTAATGACATATTTTGATGCTTTTCAACCCAATACCATTCAGGCGTTAGGTAACATTTTATTGTATTTATTTAGAATTTCTGCCCTGACTACTTCCATGAAGAACAACACAGGAATTGCAACATAGAGCATTTAGAAATAAATCTAGGATAGGGAGCATCCAGTGGAAATGAAACAGACATTACCAGGCATGTGAAATACTCTGTGTACTGAATCTCTTTTTCCTTTGTTCGTTTGGCCACCACATGAAAAGATATGCATACTAAAGTACATCATTGATATCGTCTAGCCAAGGTGTTCAGGTGTAGAGAATTTCCACCCCCAGCCCTGGCCCTGGCTGTGCTAAGTCTTCTGGTGGCCACACCTGTGGCCACCTATGGCTCAGCGACAGATATTCCCAGGTTGAAATCATGGTATTTTCTATTTAGTTTGAGAGTGGTGAGAGGCAAGTGGGCAGAGGAATTGCTGCAATCCAAATTCCCAACTATATCAAGGCCTCCTTTTCCTTGGGTTCTATACTCTGGTAATTAATAATAATAGTACAATCTCTTCTTATATTTTCTATGTTGAATTATTGTACCACCCACCTAGATAGCAAAGTCAAAAGTCTGAGAGGAAGCACACAGTCATCCTTGTTCTTCCCTACTTGCAGTCCACCTCTGATGGTCTAGATCATTCCAGGATGTCACATTCCTGGTAAGAGCCTACTTACCTTTCAGGCATCAGCCCTGAGAAGGGTAATCTCTTCTCTGTAATCTTTCCTGAAACCTCGCCCATCCTCTGGTAAACTTAGCCCTTCCCTTCTTTGTGTCTTTCCCTACTATTTTGTATACCCTTCAAGGGCATTGGCTGTATTTCTTCGGTACTTTTGTTTTTGTTTCTGCTGTGTGCCAAGCACTTCATTGAGTAGGTGTTGGGATTACAGTGGTTAACACAAAAGTCATGATTCTTGTCCTCCTAAACCTTGCAGTCATATGGGGGAGTTAGAATGCAGACAGTCAAATGCACAAATATTTCATTATGAAGTGTGTAAATGCTAGAAAGTGAAGTCCTATGAAGAAGAAGAATATGAGACATAATTTATTGGGAAGAGGTGTCTGGGAGGAAGTGACGAGTTCAGACCAAAAAATGAGTAGGAGTTTATCCAGTTGGAGAGTTGGGGGAAGAGCATTCCAGGAAGAGGAAATGAGGAGGAAATCCCTAAGGTGGAAAAAACGTGGATTATTCCCCAACATGGTCCAGTGTGGCTGGATTATAGTGATGAGGTATATGGGCATGGGATGAAAGTGGAAGGGCGGGCAGGGTATTGGTCACACAGGGTTTTGTAGGCTGTGTTACCAAGAATCCTAAGTGCAATACAAAGGCTTTGTGGATAAATTGGATAGGGCAGGGTGACAGTGAACAAGAGGTTAGTGTCTTCATTCATCTTCACATACAGCTACCTAGCATAGAGTACCCAGCACACAGTATGTGTTCATGGAGTCTTTGTTTAATGCATAGTAATTGCCTTGCCTTCCTACCAGGATTGCCATGAAGATTAAAGGAGGTAAGGTATGCTAAGGTGCTTTGTAAAATATAGCATGTTAAACAGATACTATTCTAGATGTGATTCACTAAATTCTATGCAGTGATGCTTACGGACATTCACTGTCATGAAAAAAAACCCCTAATTCTCTGTTAAACTAGCAAAAGCTCGCAGACAGACCATCCCATGCCATGAGTATGCTGATATACTGAGTTCTTACATACTCAAAGTGTGCCCCCATTGCCAATGCCTTTAGCTAATTACAGGTGCGTGGGAACCCTTTGATATCACACCATGATGTAGCACTCCTGGTGTTAGAAATAACTGTGGGTGATGTTGCCAGGAGCAGCATAGGTTTCTCTTCTATACTGAATTCATCCAATAAATCTCTGAACCTAGGAATTCATTATTTGAAAGCTAAATTAACTGTGAAGAATAGCACCCTCTGAATTTGCATTTGGAGGAGGGCAAAGTTAATCGCAGCTAGGTGTGTCTGCCACCAACTGTGGCACTTGGTTTTCTAGAGTGTGTTAAAATAACAGATGTAACAAAATCATCAGTGCTTTGCTACTTTTTTGTTAAATGTCTGGTTTTCTACTTGGGCTGCAGGAACTTCAGATCAGGTGATTGATTTAGCAGTCCACCTCTGTGCAGTGTTGGTAGAGTATAAATTGGTAGAACCCATTTGGAAGGTAGCTTGGAAATCCTTATCAAATGTAAGATGAGTATATTTTTGTCCCAGTCTAAAAAGGAACTGCACAAAAGTCACTTGTCACAAAGATATTGCCTCATTGTTGCCATTTTTTCAATAGCAGCAATCTTGATGTCTATCATGAGAGACTGGTTATATTAATAATAGTGAATAAACACTATGGAATGCTGTACATTTCATTAAAAAGAGTGAGGTACTGAGACTAGACCAGAGGCCAAACTCGGGACCTGACAAGATGGCCGGGCTACCCCGCAGGATTATCAAGGAAACCCAGCATTTGCTGGCAGAACTAGTTCCTGGCATTAAAGCAGAACCAGATGAGAGCAACACCCGTTATTTCCATGTGGTCATTGCTGGTCCTCAGGATTCCCTCTTTGAGGGAGGGACTTTTAAACTTGAACTATTCCTTCCAGAAGAATACCCGATGGCAGCCCCTAAAGTATGTTTCATGACCAAAATTTATCATCTTAATGTAGACAAGTTGGGAAGAATATGTTTAGATATTTTGAAAGATAAATGGTCCCTAGCACTGCAGATCCGCACAGTTCTGCTATCGATCCAGGCTTTGTTAAGTGCTCCCAATCCAGATGATCCATTAGCAAATGATGTAGCGGAGCAGTGGAAGACCAACGAAGCCCAAGCCATAGATACAGCTAGAGCATAGACTAGGCTTTATGCCATGAATAATATTTAAATCGCTCTGATCATCAAGTGTGCATCACTTCTCCTGTTCTACCAAGACTTCTTCCTTTTTTGTTTGTGTTTAATGGACACAGTCTTAGAAACATTACAGAATAAAAGCCCAGACATCTTCAGTCCTTTGGTGATTAAATGCACACTAGCAAATCTGTCTTGTCCTGATTCACTGTTGTAAAGCATGAGCAGAGGCTAGAAGTATCATCTGGATTGTTGTGAAAAGTTTAAAAGCAGTGGCCCCTCTCTGCTTTTATTCATTTCCCCCATCATGGTTTAAGTATAAAGCACTGTGAATGAAGGTAGTTGTCAGGGTTAGCTGCAGGGGTGTGGGTGTTTTTATTTTTTTGGGATGGGTGGGTAGTTCTAATTGTAATGGGCTCCTGTCCTCCCCTTTATGGTGATCTAATTGCATTGGTTAAAAGCAGCTAACCAGTTCTTTAGAATATGCTCTCTAGCCAAGTCTAACTTTATTTAGATGCTGTAGATGGCCAAGCTTGATTGTTTGAACCAAAATGGGAACATTAAACATCACAGCCCTCACTAATAACATTGTGACTTTGCTGTCAAGTGTAGAATCCTCCCTTCAAGAAAAAGCTTGTGACCATTTTGTATGGCTTGTCTGGAAACTTCTGTAAATCTTATGTTTTAGTAAAATATTTTTTGTTATTCTAAAAAAAAAAGTGAGGTAGATCTATATATAAGGACAGGGATTGATGTCCAAGATACATTTTCAGTGGGGAAATAAAGATGCAGAGTGGTATTGTATAATCCCATTTGTACAACAGAAAGAAGGGAGAAGATATAGGATAGATGGATATGAGTTTGTATATACATATACTTACATATGCATAGACGTTTTCTGGAATGAAGCACAGGAAACAGGTCTCAGTTGTTACCTTGGAGATTAGGGGAGGCAGGGCTAGGGGCTTTTCATTTTCACTTGATACCTTTCTTTACTGCTTAACTTGTTTACAATAAGCTATAAAGCCTTTAAATAGTAAAAATTAAAAAATCCCATACCCATTTGATTCTTTTCTTTACACTAATATACTAGAAATAGAACATATAATAATGGTTGAAGTGAGAAGTTAGGTCTGAAGCACAGGAGGCAGAATCTGGGCAAATCAGAGGCCTCTGAAAGCTACCAGGGAATCATCATGGCCAGGGGCTTAGGGGAGCTGTGGCTTTGTTAAAGCCTAGTACTAAGAAAATGAGACAAAATTAGGTAAAAATTGTGATTTTATGAGGCCTTTTTGTTTTTAGATGAAGCAATTTTAGTTATGTCATTGGTTTTTATTTGTGGGTATTTTAATACCTAAGTAACATAGTAATTGTACTTTAGGCCACAGTTAAACAATTAAGTGTCTCAGTGTCTGAATAAATAGTTGTTCTTGTTCAACTTGTTTAAATATAAATGCATGCTAGGCTACAATTTCTTGAGCTTTTTGCTTAAGGGCTCAAGGGGGAATGCACGCATAGTCTTACATTTGAAGTGGAGAAGATATAAGTTGCCTGATATTTGTGTAGTAAAAGTTTGATTAAATTCTTAAATGCTTCAAGCTCATTTTAGCTCCCTCCCCTGCCCCACCCCCTCAAAAAGAAGGCTTTTGTCTGAGATGCAAGAAGTAAAGAGAATGTTCAGCTGAATGTTCTCTCGATTTGGTGTAATGAATAGTTCTTTCACTCAGTTGTGTGCGTTTAGAGACAATAATCACTACCCTGTCTTAACTGACCCTGGTTCTATAATATTTGGAATCTTAGCCAGGAGATGGATGGTAGAAAACTTAACAATGGATTAAGAAGCAAGACAGATTTTACTATAGGATGTAGAATTGTATGTATAAGATGTACAGTTGGGCAGGAGGCAGAGGCTGTAGTGATGGGAGCAATCGAGAGGAAGGAGAAAGACTAAGTAATTTCTGGCTGTGGATAGGTATAGAGAGATGGGTGTCATAACGAGTGCAACTTTTAAGAGATTTGTCTGGTTGTGGAAACCATAGAGCATGAGGAGCTGCTTGGAGTGTGGTTTGAAACTGAACTTGAACCTGGACCTGGAAGTCATGCTTAGAGAACCAGTCAGGAAGATTCTTGTCCTTGCTGGTGATCAGAGAAGCTGTTAGGAATGGCCCTAGCTTGGACTAGGCGTAAAAGATGGAGGAACTGGGAGAAGAACCCAGACGTCCTGGAAAGACAGACAAAGAAGACCCTGAGCCACAAGTGGGCTGGACTTTGTACTTGCTGAGAGCCAGTATTTGGCTTCTCTGTGTAGAGGGTGTTGCTGAGAGGCCTCACTCCATAGTAAAGGATTCTGATTTGATTGAAGTTGAGAGAGAGAAGAGAACAAATAATAATAGCTATCATTTATCAAATACTTACCATGTGCTTTTCCCAAGTGCTTTATATAGATTCTGAGCTCACAGCTGATAAAGTCTGGATCCAAGGCAGTCTGGAACCTGTATTCTATGTTACTCTGTATTCCTAGGATCATCACTCCCAGAATTCCTTATCTACTGCCTCCCCAAAATAATCAGGGTGGTGGTCAGTTGTGAAAGACTGATACTTCCTGTTAGAGTCTCCTTTCTGTGGTACTAATGAGCAAGTGCAATGGTCTCAAGGAGGTAAGAAAGCAGAAAGCTTGAATATAACAGGCGATGCAAAAGTGGAATGCAATTCTGTGGCCAAAATTCTGGATTCTTTCTGAATTTAAGTATGACATTTAGTGAGTATCTTCTGTGTGGGATACTGCTAGGTGCCATGTGTAGGACTAAGAGAAATCAGAAGCAGAGGCTGTCCTCCCCATAGCTAGTCTCTGAGGAAGTTAAAACATGTGCACAAATAACTGTGACCCCAGCTTGGGTTAGACACACAATATAAAAAAGGCTTAGAATAATACCATAGGAGTTGGACAAAAGTGAGGAGGTGGCATCTGAAGTAGGCAATGTAGTATGGGGTAGGTTCTTCTATAGTTGTTGATATTAGAAATATGATTTCAGGCAGCAAAGTACATTGCACCTTTGAGGGAATGAGAAAACAAAGTATCATGCTAGGCCTGTTGCATTACTTCATTAAATCATCATAACAAGCCTTTATTGACCAAATGATTTATTGTCAAAACCACTTTTGATAGTAAAGTAGCATGCTAATCAGATGGGGTAGGGATAGACAGGGACTGACCCATAGAAACCAGGACATATGAGGTGATTGGTATCAACTTCATTTAACAAATGAGAAAAATAGTGCTCATAGGTATCAAGCGGTAGAGCCAGGGCTTGACTCCAACTGTCGCTTCCAGATGAAGAGATCTGTACTTCATTCTGCTAAGCAGTGGGTGGTGGTGGTGGTGGGGATTGAAGGACTTTGGGAGAATGTCATGGTTTAAACTATGTAAGACAGATGGGAAGGAGATGCCACAATTGGAGAGATTAGTTAGGAGAGTGATGAAAGAGATTCAGGTAGAACATTATGAAGGCCTGGATATAAGTTACTGACTTGGGGATTTAAAGGAAGGGATAAATGTGACTGACATCAGAGAGGAAGAAATGATAAACCTTGACTACTGGTCAACTTGGGAAGGAGAAGAAGAGTAAAGCATGACAGGATATTCACCAAAAGTAGCCATTGTAACCTAGAAAGGTAATGTGAGTGTTCATTTGCATTTCTAGACTAAGAAAATCTGCTTCTCAAAACAATTGACCTACTAATTTGTAGTCATAAACAAATGACTTAACCCTCCTTTGCCCATATTTATTCATCTGTAAAATGTAATGCTATCTGTCACTAAAAGCCCCTGAAATTCACAGCTTGTCTGAATGTTTTTTTAACCTCCACTTTTTCAAAATTTGAATGCTTGTGCTTAGTAAGGTGAAATTGAATCCCAGTGTTGAATACACTCACTTCTATATTATATTGGCAAAATGACAATCATAATATTGATTATGATACATTATTTCCCTCTTCTGAACTCCTGCTTCTCTTATTGCCTTGAACTAATTGCTAGATGAATTCTGATGCCTGCTTTATAACATCTTTTCTATCATTGTCTTAAACTGCTTTTTAAATTCTTTATTATGATTTGACTTTTTAAAATGTTTATCTTACCTCCTTGGATAGATTGGAAAATACTTGAGGATTGCCAACATGTATATCCCTCTATTCCTCCTAATGTCTTAATTAGAGGTACCCAGGAAATGTTTATTGATTTGATTTGACCAGTTCAAATGGCAAAATAGGACCGCTTTTCCTTTTGTTTTGTACACTGTACTTGGTAAGTACAGTCTGATATAGTATTGGGTTTTTGGTAGCTACATCTTACTATGAGCTCATAATGAGCCCAAGGCCTCCTTCTTCCTTCAAGCATGTGTCTGTCTTTTTATTATTTTCTTTCTACTGAAACCTTTCTGTCTAGGCTTTTACTTAAACATTAATGTTATTAAACTTTTATTTCTTGTTTGTAATAAAATATTGCTTGGTGTATTAGTTTTCTATTGCTGCATAGTAAATTACCACAAATTTAGTGACCCAAAACAATAGCAATTTATTGTCTGGCAGTTCTTGTGGGTTATGAGTCTGTCTCAGCTTAGCTGGGTCCTTAGCTGGGTCCTGCAGCTCAGTCTTCCAGGCTGCAGTCAAGGTGTTTGCTGGGGCCACAATCTCCTCTGTGGCTTGGGGTCTTCTAAGCTTATGCAGCTGTTGGCAGAATTTAGTTCTTTGTGATTGTAGGATTGAGGGCCCCAGATCCTAGGTGCCACGTGTAGTTGCCTGGCAAATGGCCCTTTCCATAGGCACTTATTAGCATAGCAGCTTGCTTCTTCAAGGCCAGTAAGGAGTAAAGTCTGTGTCATGCTAGCAAGAAAGAATCCCGTATACAGTGGTCCCCCCTTATCCATCATTTTGCTTTCTGCAGTTTCAGTTACCTGCTGTCAACTGAGGTCCAGAAGCAGATGCTCCTCCTTCTGACATATCATCAGAAGGTCAATTGTAGCCTAATACTTTGTCACAATG